GAACACATACATTAAAGGCCTGGGTATACTTTACTTGCCGCGTTCCGTTTCGCACACAGTGGCGTCCGCATAGCTTTCAAAGTATACTCAATCCCGGATAAGCACAGATGGACGAGTTCGACACATGTACAGGCCACTTTCTTGACTCGTTCCATCTCAACATTAACCTCTGTGCTGTTGTACGCAGCACATCTGCACGGTCACAAAAATTGGGCTGCATGCGGATGGTGTGCGTGGACACTTCTGATGATGAAACCTGCATCACGAGGACAGTGGAACGCGGACAGCCGAATTATACTTTGGGCTTAACACTTCCAAAGCACACGCTGCACACACCTGAGTTCCCAGCAAAAACCATTAGCACTGTGAAATTGACTGTTAGGCTCACAAAGTCGCTTGACAAATGCAGTTTTCTGGCCTTTGTTGACATGCTTCCTATTGAAACCAGAAGTTTGGCAAGACATCCTTTTTGAAATAGCTAACAGACTTTAGTTATGTCACAGTCATGAACCTACTGCTAGTCAGTTGCAGAAGGTAACTGGGGTGGGATTTTCTCATTCTTGAGAGCATTTGATTGGACAGTAATCCGTTTAATGCAGGAAGAGTCATCAATATATTTAGCCAGTTTCCCCAGAAAAGTGTACATTTTAAATGCATTTTCCTTCAAAGTTTCATTTTTTTCAAGTTTTTTGGAGGACACTAGCATAATAAATGATCTCAAAGCAACCATGCTTACCTGCTTTTCCAATTTGGACCGCTAATTTGGTCAGTTTCCCTTGCAAAACTGATTTCTCTTTCTTTGGCATGTTGGATTTTCTCTTCTCCTCACCCTCAGCCCCCTCATCACAGTTTAGAGGCTGCATCTCCATTGCTGCACCATCCTGGGCTTTAGCTACAAATAGAAAGAAAGAAAGAAAACTGAATATCAGGGATGAACTATCTGACAAGCTGATGTCAAAACAGAACTGCGCATTAAGTGATGCAGAGTAAATTCAGAGTAACAAAACTACAGCAGCAACAAGTCTGTGTTGGCTGAATATATTAAGCAGCTTCTACAGTTAAAGATAAAACTTCAAGCACTCTTTTTGAGGAGTCCTTTTTAAGGCAATGTTTGAAAAAAATGGTTTTTAAATTAAATCTAAAAACATTAATGCATTATTATTTAATTATCATACCATTACAAATTAAATTCATTTGTAGGTAACTAGTTAAGTATTTAAATAATCCTTCTAGGCTGTTGGTGACTGGGCTTATTTGTTTATTGATTTTTAAATGACATGAGACTTTGGACTTTGTGACTTCCTGCACTTGCTATACTTCATAGTCATTTTGTAATAAATCCAAAAGCAAGACGTGAATAAAAACCGCTCTGCTGCACAAACGTGTGTTTACTGTGAGTTGTGTTTTTATGTGTGGTTTCAGTAACTTACAGTGACGGAGAAATGAGCTGTGTGTCACCTGAAAGTTTTAGATCCAGTCTCCACCGGAGCCGCTCCCGTGTTCTACACGCTAACATGCAGTTACTGTTTTGTGTTCTACACGCGAAATATAAAAGCTATATATAAAAATCAAAGCAAATATAAAAGCTGCTGTCAGTAAATGAAGATTTGACGGATGCACTTGTGGCTCAATTGGACTCTTGTCGTGTCAGAAAGTGATAAGACTTTCAGTTTTATGGACGTCGCCATCTTTGATATTACTTTGGTCACTGTTGCTATGGTTACTGGTAAGGAATACGGGCTTGACTCCCGTTGCACGTTCATACAGACAGTATTCGAGAAGCTACTGTAAGTTGCTGTGTGAACGGGACACCTGTTTGTAAATGCGGTTGTCAATCCCACAAACTGACAGTGTGAATGTAGCCAATGATTAATCCTCTGCTGCCATCTACTGGGTATAATGTTAATCATGTCATTTTCATCTTACAAGTCTTTGTTTTTCATGTCAGCTTCATGAACAAAGTGAATCTTTAAAATGAATTTTAACTGTAGAGTTAAAAAAATAATAATACAGGGTTTAACATATAGGTGTTAAAAAAAATGTGTTTTAAGCTGGGTGAGTTTGCATCCCTGGACTATGCAGTGGGCACAAAAATTTGAGTATATTATCTGCTGCTCTGTGCTGGTGACTATGATTTTCTCCACAAGAAGCATATTCTAATTAAACTGTGGTTCCCCCACGTGACAAATACAAATTAACCCTCTGATGCATCGTGGTCACTACAGTGGACAGCTATTTGGAAGCCATTTTGAACCATTTAAGATGTAGCATCATGTCCCAACCACCAACTGGCGAACCCCCAAAGTGTTGTCTACGATTCCATTTAATTGTTGTTTTTTAATCTATTTTTTTGTTTTGATATATTGCATAATATATTCAAAATGGCAGCAGGAAAAGGGGATGCACCATGTACCTCGGCAATAAGTGTTAAATAATTTTATTCTCAGAAAACCAGACAGGTACAAAAAATATTTTTCAGTTAAATAGGATGTCAGAAATAGTTTCATCCAGTTTTAACAATATTTTTCTTGTACATTTTTTTGTTACAGAAAATATACCTGTCCACTACAGTAGACGTCATTCACCAAAGGGTATAATTCTGCCTATGGGCCTATATATAGGTTGTGCCTTATTTTGTATGTTTTATTAAAATTATGATATAATTTACACTTGAATGGTTTTATTGAACAGAAATATTAAATAGTCTTCAGATTTGATCATTTATTTCAATGCGTACAGTCTATATTTATTTATTAGGTCATATAAAACTGTAGACATGTATACATGTATACTGTACGAGTGCAGATATATGTGTGCATGATTGTGTTCGAGTGTGTGGTGGGAGGGTGTGTGTGCTTGTATTTGTGCTCACATGAGTATGAATGCACATTTAGGAGTCACATGCAAACCCATGTGACCAAGTATCCTAGGAGACATAAAACCTCATCACCACACTCAGATGTCCAGTCCATCACTTATCACCATCGGCTATAAAAAAAAAGACATGCACATACTTATCCTGATCTCAAGGCCATCGCTCTGCGTGCTGAAAATACAGCCTGCCAGTGAGGTAACATCACACAAAGAACTCGGCATGCGTGCAATCATACAGACAAGCACGCAGCAGTGCATCGCCGTCTATCGCTGCTGTAGCATGACGCAGTCGGCCTGTGTGCAGGATTTAACCGGTGTGTGATGTGAGGTAATGCGACTGCGTTTGAATTAGCGGGGGGTGGGGGTAAGGGCCGACGTGAGACTGCTATTCTACTGTGCAGTGTTGTCGCGCTCTACTCACAGAGCTGTAATGGTAGTCTGGTGGATTAGAGCTCATTTCTGGCGGGGCGATCTGTAGCCAGGGCTTCAATAAACACAGGCGTGCGCTACTTATAGAGAAAACACTACAGAGTTGGTTTCTGAACACAGGGCAGCCTGACTGTGGACTCTTTCCTGCTTGGGTAGGTGATTTTAGATGATAAAAGGTTTGAAGAGAGACAGGTGCAGATACCTGGATATCAGAACATAGCTGCACAGCATGTTGAAAAGTTTAGGGTTGGTAAGAATTTTTTAATGTTTTAAATCATGTTCACCAAAGCTGCATTTATTTTTTCAAAACTGATCAAAAACATAATAGTGAAATATTACAATTTAAAAGAACTGTTTTCTATTTTAATACATTTTAAAATGTAATTAATTCTTGTGTTGGCAAAGCTACATTTTCAGATGCTCCAGTCTTCAGTTGTCACATGACCCTTCAGAAATCATTCTAATACGCTGATTTGTGGCTCAAGAAACGTGTTGAAAACAGCTGTTTAATATTTTTGTGAAAACTGATTTCAGGATTCTTTGAATAAAAAGCTCAAAAGAATAGCAATGATTTGAAATAGAAATCTTTTGTCCTCCCTGTCACTTTTGATCAAATTAATAAAATTATAAAAGTAATAATAAAAGTAAAATTATACATTTCTTTCAAACCTCCCAAACTTTTGAATGGTAGTGTAATAATCAGACTAACTTCTCAACACTTCACACTAGTGTGGATAAGCTTTAATGAAGATCTAATAGCACTAATGGGTTAAGGCGATGTTTTTAATGCAGGCTGCAGCATGTAAGAGGGTGGCCCTCTAAGCCAGTATGGTGTTCATTATGTCATCAAGTCAATAGGGTTACTCACCTTTCTTTCTGTTCTCCACAGAGCCATCCTGCTTTTTATCTGTAGAAAGAGAGAGAAAGAGAAGCCACATAACAAACACTCACTAATTTATTCATTATTCACCATTATGTAAGCGACGGTTCTGCAGCACACATTTAAACATATTTCCAATTATGCAAATCTTCTCTTTGAATTAGCAGAATGAGAAAAGGCCATTGAATATTTACGAACAGATGTGTGCCACGACCACATGAGGTTTTCAAATCTGTAGCCGGGGCTTCAATAAACACAAGCGTGCGCTACTTATAGAGAAAACACTACAGAGTATTAGACCACAAATGCACAAAATTGCAATGAGGTGCACTGAACAGCAACTTGGGGCCCAACCTCTGCAAGTACTGAAATATTCATGTATCTGTAGGCACTCATTTGGAGACCCAACACGTGAGCCATGGGCTGCAGAGATGCATTAAATGGCAGTTAGGTAATGGAGCGCACAAGAAATCGTTACGTTTTTCTATGAGTCATTGCTTCAGACATTTTTTTTTACCAGACAGAAAAATACTGCTAATTTAAAAAAAAAAAATTCTCACTTTTCCGAGTTTGACAAAAGCACACTTTCATGAAGGCTGGAACACACACATGCAGCCTATTCTATTCATCTCTCTGCAGCCACAGTAGCAGATTGAAGAGACTGAAAAGGCCACTGGTTGGTCTATTTTAGTTTCTGAGGCAGACTAAAAAGACACCAAATAATACAGACAACTTACTTTTCTTCTCTTTCTTTTTCTCTTTCTTCTCCTTCTCTTCCTCATCATCATCATCTTCTCCCGCCCCCAATAACGTGAAGATGATTCCAGTTTGGGAATTGACTCCAACAGCAGTGACAACCATTTTTCCAGAGCCCTCCATGACATGAGTACCTGCACAGAGGAAGATGAGGTGAATAAGGGTCACATGCCATTCATATTGGTGCCAATACATTCACGACTGGATCTAAAACACTCACACAAAGCTCAGTTTATCACAAATAACTAGTTGTCCAGTGTTTTTCCCCACAGAACAGGTTTACCAAACTTGCTCTTAAAACATGGGTGTAAAGATGACTAAGTATTTGACATAAAAAAAGGTGATTATAAAAACTGCCCTAAAAATGTCCCTGAAAATAAATTCCTATGCAAATATTGGCCCTTAATATAAAAAGTTCATTTCTGACCCTGGTCCACACCAGCGCACAATAATGCTCTGTTTATTATAAGCATGTGCTGCAGTTATGTCATCTGCCACTATAAATGCTTGAGTTCTTTAAAGCAGAATGGATTCTGATTGGCTGTCAGTGTTTTTCAGCATTCGTCAGCTGGATACAATTATTTTGAAATTAATTCCAACAGTTGTTATTCTGTTATTATCGTTATAGTTGTGACGTGGACTCCGTTATTCTTTAAATTTAGAATGATTTTTAAAATTATATCTTTGTTATCGTCCTTTGGATGAAGGACTCTTGAAACAGGATGAAGACTCAAAACAGGCAGGTCTTCAAATCAAATTACATATTATTGGGCTCTATGAGCACCAGCCAAAGGTAAAAGCAGAAATGAGTGGCCATTTTCTTCCTGGCCTTCAGAAATGGAGAGGTTTTTGCTGGGTTAGACTTAGTATGCTAACGCAGGCTCTGCTGGAGAAGTGCCCACTACTGCTCACAAATCCCCCCTCATCTCCTCTGGGATGGCACACAGCAATGTCATTCTATCAGAGGATCAACTGGCTTTCATAAAATGGGATTAGCTGAAGATGTGCAATAGCCTCGCTGAGAGGTAGCAGGTCCTACATAGCAAACATCTGAACTCCCAAGATGGACATTTATTTGGTTCGGCTGAACTTTTGGGTAGAGTTGAGACAGGACACAAAGAAAATGCTAAAATGTTACAGGGTTGTGCAGCCAAATGTGAATCAAAAGTGTGTTTTGGTTTGTTTCGCTAGTGACAGGTTGCAGTCTCTGTAAATAGTAGGGTTATGTCCCACCTGACAGCAGCATAGGATCTTTCTCCATCGATTTCTTCACATGGTCAGACTCTCCAGTTAAAGAGCTCTCATCTATTTTGAGGTCATTGCCCTGGATGAGCATGCCATCAGCAGGCAGGAGGTCACCTGATGAAGAACGTATCCCATCACAATAATGTACATTACCGTCAGCAAATTTTGAATTTATTTCAAGGTGACTATACAGAAAAATGTAATAATAACACCAGTGAAATGCCAGACCGGTAGAGGGTTTTTTTTTTAAACACTATACTCATACTTTTGAATTTCCCTCTAAAAAGGAAATGAAACCTCTGCAAATTTATGTCGGCTTACCATATTTAATTTGTGCAATGTCCCCGACGACAATCTCGGCCACAGGGATCGGAAGGACTTGCCCTCCCCGAACCACCATAAACTTCTGCTCTTGTTCAATGCGGCTCTGTAAGCCACGGAACTGCTTCTCTTTGCTCCAGTCATTGAAGGCAGTCACGAGCACCACGCAAATAACAGATAGAAGGATAGCTGCTCCTTCTATCCATCCGGCCTCAGCTTCTCCTTCATCCTCTACTCCACCCGCTGCTTCTCCACAATCTGCGCACACACACACACACACACACACACACACACACACACACAATAAAACTCGGCTCAGAACAACCTGAAATTGAGATGATGATCTATAAATAAGGCAGAAGCAAATAAATAGGTTACTTACTTTGATTTTCTGAATCTGGAGGTTTATAAAAAGAAAGGCCCAAAGAAACTATTGCTGCCACTTCCAAAATAATCAATGTTACGTCTTGTAATGCTTCCCATACTAACTGAAGAAAGGTTTTTGGCTTTTTCGGAGGTATAAAGTTCTGTCCAAATGCTACTTCTCTTTTTTCAATATCTGGGGGCTGCCCACTTAATCCTGGAAGAAAAGAGTAAGAAAACAAAAATTAATAATTCAAGTAAACACTGAATACAGCTCTTCTTGTATTGCAGCATACGATGCTTAATGTGTTTCTATGAGAGCCAGGATTAGCGAGGAAGAAAGGACCTGTGGGTCAGCAACAGTAGCTTTTAAAGATAAAGACATTCTGAATAAGATCAAAAGGTTATGGAGAAGCAATATGACTAAAATTAGGGATTGGGGAACTCCACAAATATATATATATATATATATATATATATTAAAAAACATTTTGTTTAGGCAAACATTTTACAAAGTTGATCAAATGGAACAGAGAATTGTTGACTTCTTTAGAATGTATAGCCTACCATTTATTATTATATTATTTATTATTATCTATTTACATTATCGTTCAAACATTTGGGGTTAGGGCTGCAACAAACGATTATTTTGATACTCGTTTAATCTAACGATTATTAGAACGATTAATCGACTAATCGTCGATTATTTCGCTGATTAATCAGTAGACATTTTTTTATTATTCATCTTTTGCAATTAGTTAAAATATTGAGTTACACATATTCTAACAAATAAATTAAGGTAATCACTTCAGCTTTTCAGCACACAAAATGAGATGGCAGAGAAACTCTTATTCACCATTTAATTAGCTATATGAGAAAGTAGCTGAATGACACATCATTCTGCCTAAAATCTCTTTTTTTAAGTCATATGGATAAGAAACAAAATAAAGGTTAAGTGATAAGACGTTTTATTTTTGGATAAACTATTTTATTCACAACAATCTCTCTTAAAATACCTTATAGGGTTATGATAATCAAAACAGTCCTGAGCTAGATCAAGCTTTGATCTCTGCAAACCAAACAATCACTTTAATTAAACGTTTTTTCCCCCCACTAATAAAAAGATTTTATCATTAGCTAGCTCCACACTGTAGAGCTGCTTTATAACAGAAAATCAAGTTGTAATTCTAACTGAAAGCGACACCGACTCTGGTTTTTCATGTTTAATACTGTAAAGCTGCTTGATTTAAGGCTATTGCATAAAGTACTAAATAAATAAACGTGACGTGACTGGAGTACTGAACTGCAGAACTCGTGCAAACATCCACATCGCTGTAATCAGATGCGTTTTAAAATCTCACAAATTTTTGCTCACTCACTGTATTTTTGATTTTACAGTGGGGTAATTTTGTTGCAGTAGCACGAGATAGCTTGATTTCAAACTTTGAATTGAATAACAAAAATCACAAGTAAGCAGTCAGTAATAAAATAAGAACAAATAAAGAAATTACTAATGATAGAACAAATAAAAAATAATGATAGGCCTAAAAATGAAATAAATAGCTTTTTAGTTTTTCAGGTAGGTCTAACAGTAGGGCTATTAAGAGATTACCAAAAGATTTTTTTTTTACCAATTATCAAAATAATGTTTAGTCCTAGAAATCTATTATTATCAGAACACGTGAGCATAACATAGCGGTTAGCAGATCAATGAATGAGAGGGCAGCGTTTCCAGAGATGCCCATATTCCACACCATGTTACAGCACAGTAGGACTATTGCAAACAGAAACAATACTGTACTACATCGATGTTTCCTGTCGGCTCGATTTTTGTGTGGACTTTGCCGTTTCGATGAGCATGAACAACTGTTGGCGCAAGCTAGATTAAAGTGATTATTACGTTTTGAATATGGATATTTTTCTTACAAAAACATCGATTCGCTACAGGCCTTTGTTCACCCCCCAGAGCCGTGTGAGACACTTTTTTTATGGATGGGCGCTTTTTATTTCACTTCTTTTGGACTGAAGCACTGCAACACCCGCTGACTGCAATGATAGAGCTTGGAATAGCCAGGACAATTTTTTATATAACTCCCACTGGATTCGTCTGAAAGAAGGAAGTCATATACACCCAGGATGCCTCGGGGGTGAGTAAAACAAAGCCTAATTTTCATTTTTGGGTGAACTAACCCTTAAAATTGAAATATTTATCTTTTCTTGCTGATCCGAAAAATAATAATGTGATCCGTAACCGTGAGATTTGTGATCCGTTGAACCACTAATATTTTGAAAAAGTATAATAATTTGAAATATGTTTACCATTTCAATATATTGTAAAATGCTATTTATTAATGTAATGGCAAAGCCACATTTTCAGCAGCCATTACTCAAAGTAACAATTGCACAAGTAACATTTCTTAAATCAATGTTGAAAACAGTTGTGCTGATTAATATTTTTGTGGAAACTGTGATAGTTTTTTTTCAGTATTCTCTGATGAAAAGAAAGATCAAAAGAACAGCATTTATATGAACTAGAAAATTGTAACATTATAAATTTGTAACATTTACTGTCATTTTTTTTTATCAATTTAGATAGTCCTTGCTGAATAAATATAATTGTCAAATCTTACAAATCTTAAGTTAAACTGCATTGAACCTCATTTTTTCTATATTATATTACTCTATATGATACTCATTGAGCAGCTAAAATAACAGTCATGTGTCTACAGGTGTCTGACAGAACTAGTAACAATTTTAGCCATGTCTGTCCATGTCCAGGCTAAAATCTTGGTTCATAAAATAATTACATTTACAAAAGGGCTTGCATTGATTTTGTATTGAATCGATTATGAGCTATTAGCACAGCTAATCCATCAATACTGGCACTACAGCAGTAAAGCGTGTGGGATTTTGACACAAGATCATGAGAATTTCCTGGGTGTGAAAACTTAATCTGGGCCAAATAAGGAATTCCAAAACTGTTAGGGCAAAAACAAACATTGAGTTGAGTGTACACGGTCATTCTCAGGAATCATTCAAATGCACTGGTTTAACAGCAGTTCGCTGGTTTGCCCATTTGAATAACTCTCTATATTCAAAGAAAGTATTCAAAGTCGTCATGGTGTACGCATTCAGTCCACCACATGTTAAGAGACAAAAAAAAAAAAAGGATGGCTAGATGCGGTGAATGAGCCATGTGGACGAAAAGCATGCATGAATACATG